CCTGGTGACAAAGCATCTGTAGTTTTCTTTACTCGAAGTCAGTTAACTATGTCAAAGGGCTACAGGTAGGCACTTGCAGTCAGGTGGACTATAAGCTCGTTTGTCACATTAATACTAAAAATAAAAATAATGCACGAAATACAGGATTATTTTGCATTAACCGCCAAATTTGCAAAGAAGGGTCAGAATAAGTTATATTGGCAAACCTTAAAGAAAAATTAATTTAAAAAAATCTCAAACATTCTGTCCTTTTTATCTTTTAAATTCAAAATGTGTAATAATGCATTATTTTAACTGATTGTCGTTCATAAATATCTAATGCCTACTATTTTACTACGCAGGCACACATTCGTTAGGGTCGATCGGTTGACAAAAAGGTTGTGAATTGAATCGCACACAGAGCAGCGCGCGTACGCGTAGTTGTTGCCCATAAATTACATTCATTATTAGTATTTTCAAAAACTGCAATAACGGTATATCATTATTTATATTATATTTGAACTTAAGTTTAAAATATAGTACTCTACTCTTTGAAAAATAACCCTGTATATATACGTTTCATTTCAAATAGCAGCGAAAAGCAACGTTATTCGCTTCTCTGTTGTATATTAACAAGCTATACATATAAGCTGATTTAAACAGGACTGGCACGCGTTTTATCTATGATAACGCTCCATAACACGGCATTCGGCGCCTTTATAATGATAAAAATATTGAAATTATGTCGCTATATTCGTAGCCGTGAACAGATATCGCTTTGTAACGAAGTTTCATTTGTGAAATGAAGCTCATTTATGTTTCTATAAATTCGCTGAGTCCGGGACATCAGTTTGATTGCCAATAAAACCCCAACCGCACTGACTGAACCATATTAAAACGCTATTAATATAATTTGCACCTTTTTTACGACTGCAAACTTAACGTCGCTAACAAGCAATAATCCGAAATCGCAAAGCGTACAGCCATAACGTTTCAATTCAACTGGTCTTTAGAAGTTAAGATATTTATGACTCAATCATGATTTTATTCTTTAAAAAAATTTCGAATCAACACTTAAAAGCATGTTTTATGATAATAACAATAACATGTATGCTGAAAATAATTAAGTCTACAAGTGTCTGAAAACAGAAATATAACTAGGGAGTTTTGGATTTTTTTTTATCTGACCGAAAGTATATGGTCCTCCAGACCTAATTTCGATAACTTCGGCCATTTTCTGACTAGCCATCTACACAGAACAAGATTACATGAATGTACGCGCAAGCATAGGTGCACTCTCTATTTCCTCACTATCATTGTCCGTTGAGACAGCAATATGATCGGAGAAATTTGGCACAGGACAAACGACTTTACTTGTTCTCCGAGTACCCCTGGTTACTAAGAACATTTTGACAGAAAAACCTAAAACTGTTTTTGGCTAGACCCGGCACTCAGGAGACCTCATGATCAGTAGTAGCGCTTACAACTCACAGATCAACGCGGCATTTCATATATTCACCTATTCAAATTGTTTTGTGTATTAATTAGATATCTTAAGCATCTGTCAGGAAACTTGATTAAATATTTCATAAATGGATAAATTTAAATGTAAAAAATAAAATTAATATGTACAAAGTTAAAGAAATTATGAGACGAATGAAGTTTTTATACATTGTATCATGACAAGAAGAGCGCAAACGCCACAATCTTGTCTAATATAAAATGTATGAGTAAACTGAGATATTTATAACCAAAGCAACAATTTTCATCATTACACGGCGTGATCAAGTAAAAACCTACTACGACAGTTTAATTACAGATTGCCTGTTTGTTAGCCTATTATTGACTATTATATATTAACTCTTTCTGTCCATTAAAATAATTTTGTGAACGATCTTATCAGACGGCCACTCGATGAGATTCTGTATGAAATGATAAATTATTGAAGAGCGTATGTTGATAAAAATGTTGACAGTCGCAGTTATACTCGTACGCAACCAATATTTTTAGTTGTTACAGACAAAAATGAATACGTGCACGTTAGTGACATTTTTTGTGTTAGGTAAGTTTTTTTTTTTTACTTATTATAAGCCAGTGCTTGACCACAATCCCACCTGGTGGTAAGTGGTGATGTAGCTTTAGATGGTAAATCGCACTGTCTTAGCGTAACAAAAGCCTATTCACTTTTGTCCTGAAGTGTGATAAACTACGTTCTATATTTTATATTTATTAGTTAACAGTGAACTACTGAAGTGACTACTACAATCAATAGATACTTAAGACAACTGTGATCCGTCGTCCGACGTCCAAGGATTAAGGTGAAAGGTCTCGCCGCCTATAACTATATTAGTTTTCGTAACCATCCAACAGGGACGAACCGATGGATTCATTGCAGCATTGGATAAACAGCGAATTAGTGTTAAATGAAACAAGAATTGCTTAAAATATCCTCCATTTACGTATAAGTAATTGTAGCACAGATTGTCATCGGCGTGCTGAGGGGTGTAAAACATGACTAAAGAAGTGTAAGGGAAATATTGCGATCAGAGACAGAAGGCAAAGAAATGACTGTAATATCTAGATCAAACATATTTAAGACTAATGCCAGGAAAAAGTATCAAAATTTTTAGACTTGTTATGAACGACAGACGATACCATTATAGCAAATTTCTCTCCACTAGATATTTGCAAGGCTGTACAACAGACTGTTTACAGGCTATGATAATGTTTTAAGGTATTTAAATTTGATATATACCTAGTTATGTGATTTTCACGCCTCTTTAGTCTCGTTTAAGTGCAACAGAGACTTTGAGACAATTATAGTTTTTATTACTGCTGCCATTTATAAAATTTAATGAGACTGAAATTTAAGTCATAGAGTAATAAAATTTATTGAATTTTACGTAATAGAGCCATGCTGTAGCACATTACGGTTACAGCACCAATTGGTCTGGCTGACCTGGACCACGCCGTCACAGAATATTGTACAAATTAGCAGCAGTGTTTTTATGGTGAGTAACGGAAACTGAATAACTTTTTTTACTAGTGAAGTGGCACTTTCATGGAGTATGAGCCTAGGCATCTACGTACCATAAAATGAACTGTGTGCTCGTTTTCCACCCTTTATCACTAGGTAGAATGCCTTAACTAAAAATGTAGACACACTTGATGATACAAGCTCGATTGTGAATGTGGTCTCTCGTAATATATGGCAAACAAAAAGATCTCTAGGCGAAAGAGGATCATCCTCAGATGCAATCATCATGTATGGCACAAATATGCATGCGTTATAACATATAATACAAGAAAATATAATTAGTAGATGGTTAGCAATTCGTCGCAAATATATGGTACGCTTCCCGATGATGATTATCTCCAAAATTCTATAAACAACAACGTTTGCCACGTTACCAAAGAAACAACGCTTTACTAGAATAAAACCTTTACTCTCGATCTAGCCAATATTTTATAGAGGTTGTTTTTTTACGATAGGATGACATACGAGCACACAGTCCACCTTATGGTAAGTGGTTGCTGTGACCCACAGACATCTACATCTATCCTCAATAAAGAATCAAAATGCAGAATACCAGCGTGAAACGGCAGCTTAGCGCTGCTGTGTTTATGGTGAGTGTAGAACCGGAGATCCATTTTACTGGAAAAGAGGCATTCCATCTTAGTCCTCACGGGTGACGACGCATCTGCATTTTGATACATTATTGAGGATAAATGCAGATGTCTATGGGTCACAGCAACCGCTTACCATCAGGTGGACTATGTGCTCGTTTGTCACCCTATCCTATAAAAAAAAGATGTGTTGTCACCCGCGAGGACTAAGATGGAATGCCTCTTCTCCAGTAAAAAGGGTCTCCGGTTCTCTACACTCACCATACGAAACACAGCAGTGTTGAGCTGCTATTTTACGCTGGTATTCTGTGAGAGCGTGGTCCTTCCCCGGTCGAGCCGACCCATTCGTGCTACAACTATACTACTAATATAGCTGCAGCATGGCTCTACCACGTATAAAAATAGGGTGTGGTATAAAAATGTGTGTGTGGTGCCGCCAGATCTATAAAAACCCGCGTAAAAGAACATATAGCTGACATGAAATACCAAAACTCTAGGAAGTCTGCAGATTGTGATCATATCCTAAATGGGCTCTGCCATTACATCAGATTTGATAGATCACAAATCCTTGCGAAAGAACATCGCCATTCCTACCAAGATATATATTGTCACATGATACGTGAGGCTATTGAAATTTAAAATAAAAATCCTAATTTCATTCTGCGTCACCGATCTGGTCAAAAAGAGCACCCGAAACGTCACCAATTAAAAATAAGTAGTAAGTATTAAACGCGATAAAATCCGTAAAAGTAGTTTTATTCAATGTGTAGTGTTTTTTTTTTTTTTTTTTTTTTTTTTATAGGATCGGGTGACAAACGAGCACACAGTCCACCTGATGGTAAGTGGTTACTGTGACCCATAGACATCTACATCTATCCTCAATAAAGACTCAAGATGCAGATGCGTTGTCACCCGTGAGGACTAAGATGGAATGCCTCTTTGCCAGTAAAAAGGGTCTCCGGTTCTCTACACTCACCATACGAAACACAGCAGCGTTAAGCTGCTATTTTACGCTGGTTTTCTGTGAGAGCGTGGTCCTTCCCCGGTCGAGCCGACCCATTCGTGCTACAACCATAATATAGCTGCAGCATGGCTCTACCACGTACATAAGTGTTCGCGTAAATATAAGAAATCATGACGGGTTTAACCGTCTATCTGGTAAATATCTGGCAATCGTTACAGATAAGACCAAAGTTCAGCAGTAACTATTCATAACTCTAATAAAATATGTATTTGTTGCAGTTTTATCCAAGAATCTAACATCATTTCCCACATTTAACGGCTCTTTAACGGAACAAACTGCAGCACGAATAGTCAATGGCTACGAAGTTGATATAACAGAGGTTCCATATCAAGCAACGCTCAGAAGGAGGGTGGTAGCAGGTTGGGCGCATATGTGCGGCGCTGTTATAATCAGTACAAAGACGCTGTTGACCGCAGCGCATTGTACTATAAGGTAATTGATTATTGTAGTCAATACTGTTGTAGCGTCATCAGTCTCATCGTCATCATCATCAACAGTCCTCTCAAGTCGACTATGAAACATAGGCTTCTCAAAGTTTGTACCAGCTGGTATAATATACTCTATGCTGTCCTGTAAAATTATGGTCAACCATTGTGGTTACAAATGCTAGGTCGTCTATATTTATATAATAATAATAATAATATCATTTATTCGCTAAACATGGTACATTAATATGACAAATAGTTGTACATAGTTCACATGTTTACCACATTATTATTAAGGAATTATATTAAATTAAATTTATTAAAATTACAATTGTCGTGTCAATCACTATTGTTTTATAACTAGGCAAATCAATTAAGTATATATAGAAAAAAATTAAAATATCGAAGGAGTATTTAATGTAAAGAACATCAAATAAATATAAATGTATAAAGCATGGCTATGTCAAGTTTAGGCAACGATATTCTATTCATTTAAGAAGTGTTTTATATCATAAATACACTTTAATAACAACCAGCTTTTGAGTTTGGTTTTAAATTTACCGATTTCCATCTCTTCTTTAACATTTACCGGTAGTTTATTAAATATCTTTATACTCATCGCGTAACAACCCTTTTGATAAAATGCAGTTTTCGGTATTCGGTCTAATACTAGTCTATCTGATTTTCTAGTGTTATGCAAATATACATCGGACGCTTTCTTGTACATATGTAAATTCCTTTTTACATGAACACCTGATTCAAATATATACATTCCTGGTAAAGTTAGGATTTTAAACTCCTTAAATAAGGGCTTACATCTGTAGCTTACATGATTCATACCATTTAGTTCCAGTTAAGGCTCTTACACACTTATTTTGAGCTAAAAAGTTCTTTTTGAATAAGAGCTATTACCCGATATTAGTAATCCGTACCTTGAAATTGCTGCAACATACCCATGATATGCAATGAGTGCGGTTTCTCGTAACGATGTTCTCCTTAACCTGTTTAGGACGTATACAAATCTATTAATTTTTTTACAGACTTCGTCAATATGAGCCATCCAATTACAATTACTGTCAACTTTTAATCCCAGAAATTATTCTATATTATTATATTAGTCTATGTTAGCACTACATACCCTAAATAAAGTCAGTTTCAGAAATTATAGGATATTTGACAATATATCTAGAAAAATGATAAATATTTTCTGTATTTACTCCAATTATTAGCTTGGGTCATACAATATCAGATAAAGTTTCTGGTCCCTGAATAGATTGGAAAATAATAAGAAAATAACATTATCTGCCACAGTTCCAGCGTAAAATATTAGTATAATGCTACTGTTTTTCATATGGAAAAAACAGATTTTTTAGGAAAAGGTGTCAATGGGGCACGGTATCCACTAACAGGCGGACTCTATTTTCATCAGTTAGGGTGGCTTATCATCAGCATTATCATCATTATAGCCCATCACAATTCTACTGCTGAACATAGGATTCCCTCAAGGCACACCGCAAACCTGAACCACTTGCATCTATCGACTTACTACATCACTTACCAGGTCGGTACTCCAGTACGGCGGCCCCGATTTAGATGGAGTACACTTCGCTTACTGGTTCAAAGCTGCCACTTGAGATACATTCTTCCTCTTTTTTTCTATAGAATAAGAGTGATAAAAGATCATACAATCCACCTGCTGGTAAGTGGATGATGTGGCCCATAAACATTTACATGTCACCTCGATTAAAAATCAAAATGCAGATGTGTTATCACCCCTGAAGACTAAGATAGAATGCCTCGTTTCCAGTAAAAAAGGTCTCCGGATCTCTAGACTCACCATGTGAAACACAGCAGCATTAAACTGCTATTTTACGCTGGTGTTCTGTGAGAGCGTGGTCCAGGCATAAGTGCTACATCTCATTGGTTTCGGTTACTTCGATGTTCTTAATCTAACTTATATTAAAATGAAAGATAATATAAAAATTAATAATTAAACAATAGATCTTATTGTAATGTTCAGTAACTTCAAATATTTTTTTTAGTTATGCGGCAGATCCACCTTCTTTACGTGCCGTCGTAGGTACAGCCTTCCGTTTGTCTGGAGGGAAGTCGTACGGGTTATCAAAGGTCGTGGTCCACGAGAACTATTCATCACTTTCATTGGAAAATGACATCTCATTATTGGTGACCAGTAAGCGGATGAGTTTTGGTCAGAGTGTGAGAGCAGTAAATTTTGCAAGTGCTACTCACGTGTTGCCTGTTGGTACTGAAGCTGTAGTTTCTGGATACGGTAGTGTCTCGGTAAGCTGCAGACAATTTTTGGTTAATGGCCATCATCATCATTACAGCCCTCCACAAGGCCACTGCTGAACATAGGCCTTCCCCAAGGAATGCCACAAAGCACAGTCCTGTGCTACGTGCATCCATCGAAATTCTGCGTCTCTTATCCACTACCTCATTTCGTGCGGTGGGTGTCCTAATAGTCAACAGTGGGAAACAAACCAGGAGATGTGCAGTAGCATTTTTCTGATAACAGCATGATTACGATGAAAAAAAAAAGTTGACAAGCGTGGTTATAATGCCAATATACCTTCATAACGAAAGGTATTACATACTATATACATTTAATTCCGTATTTGAATCGATAAAAATACTCGTTTTCACCTTCCCATTTCCTTACGCTATAATACGCAAGATTTGTTAATACAGATCTCTAATGGATTTTATTTTGCACAAAAATATTTCCTTTAGGCAATTCGAATCTACGACAAATGTGTCTCTGCATAGGCATACCATATGCAGACAGTAATACAAGTTATAACAAAGTGTGCAAATAATTGTGTTTCCTGTAGGTATTTATGTGGTTTATAATTATATGATGTTTCTTTTCCATTTCTTTTCTCTGAAGTCTGCACTTGTCACCACTTTCTTCCTCTCCCAGTGTTTACTGGCTGAAAATGGCACCAACTTATTAAATCCGCGCATTGTGAGCGTTGCTTTGTAAGGTGACAACAATAAATTAATTAATTGTAAAGATAAAATAAACAGTTTTTTTTTTATTCAAGAGTAACAAACAAGTGCACGATTTTCTAAATATAAGTGCACGCTGTGGTGCAAAGACATTTACATCTATCATCGAATATGAAATAAAATGCAGATACGTTGTAATCCCTGCATACTAAGATGAAATATCCCGTTACTTGTAACAAGTCTCCGGTTTTCATCAGTCACCATACGAAGCACTGCAGCACTACGCTGCTACTCACGTTAATATTCTATGCGAGCGTACGGTGTCCTTTCCCGGTAAAGTCGACAAATTCATGGCTCTACGACGCGAAAAGTAAAATTACGTTAGTCAATATATATTTTTTAATATTTTTATTGTAGTATCTTATTTAAATATTTTGCAGTACGAAGGTTCGGCGTCGCCAGTTTTGCTTGCAGCGCGCGTTAGAATTGTCGAGCAGGATACTTGCGCTCGCGCATACCTCCGCATCGCAGATATTACCACCGGGATGCTTTGCGCAAACGCTACTAACCCTCCAAGAGATGCTTGCCAAGGGGACTCTGGTGGGCCTTTAGTCGCTAACAACACTCTAGTCGGAATAGTATCCTGGGGTGAAGGCTGTGCAGACCTCACGTACCCTGGAGTTTATACGAGAGTATCTGTATATAATTCATGGATTCTAACTTACATAGAGAGTTAAACAAATAAACAAAATCTCACTCTTATATATTGCAAATTTGATTTTAAAACTTTTATTAAACTAATTAACATGAAAATATTTATGAAGCAATAAAAATAGTATTTTCATTTCTAAAGATATTTTTTTTGAGAACGCCGGTTTTCCTCTTTCGTTCACTTAGTACATGATAAATCAGCAATTAAAATTGTGTTTAAAAATTTCAGTGGCGCCAACGGAGATCTAACTCAGTTTGCTAGAGGATTATAAAATTAAACTACAACAGTTCGGCGTTAAGTTATGGAGATTGCAAATAATGTGGTGTAAAACACACTTATTCACTGATATTTTACATTTTCTTACAGGATACGAGTGACGAACGAGCATACAGTTCACCTGATGGTAAGTGGTGGCTGTGGCCTACAGTCACGTCGATTACGAATCATAATGCAGATGCGTTGTTGCCCCTTAGGATTGAGATTGAATGCCTCGTTTCCAGTAAAATGGATCTCCGGTTCTCTACACTCACCATGCGAAACACAGCAGCATAAAGCTGCTATTTTACGCTGGTATTCTGTGAGAGCGTGGTCGTTCCCCGGTCGAGCCGACCCATTCGTGCTACAACTATACCAGTAATATAGCTGCAGCATCGCTGTACCACGTAAAAACCAACGCTTTATTATAATCCCTATATCAAACTCTCCAATTATTCGTCGGTACGCAGCTACCGTTCGAAGACCTTTAACAACGATCTTTACTTCTCTGAGCTATAATGAAACCTGTTCTATGTAAATTTAGCTTACTGATTACTTGGTTTATATCGATATAATAGTTGTATTATTGTTGTAAATTCACATAACATAGTACAATCGAAGCGAAATTTTACTTGTCTCATTACCAGAATTTAATAAAAAAAATTTACTTCAATTTCGACATTCTTCATATCAAAGATAATGGGCCACAGCATCCACTAACTAATAGGTATGGAATGTGTGCTCGTTTAACGCACTTACTACTTAATAAAGTCATGTAGCATTTACCTGTGTTGTTAATTTACCGACTTCTGATGCTACACCATTAACTTTAACGTTATTAGGAAAACGCTGTTGCACATCTGGTTTGTTTTCCTCTGTCGCCTCTGTAGTGAGTAGTGGATATTCTTACACCGCAACCTAACTGTAATTCGGTAAATTATTAAATATCGGACGGGTTCATGATATGAGTGATCGGTGGTGCTTCTATTCTATTCTATTTTATTATATTCTATACTATAAAATGAGGTTCTACAAAATAATCTCAAAAACTGCTACTTGCCCTTAAGGCTTATTTTCTACTTAAGGCTATAGGTCTTGCCCTCCAGACCTAGCCTTAAGTCGAAAATTATAATGTTTACCCTTACTTCTATTGTTGGTCAACTTAATTTTATAATTATTACCAATTTCAAGCTTCTCAGAGAAAAACCTTTGATTCCATTTTAGTGCCGTTTAACTTAATGTGGCAAGAAACTCTAAAAGATATTTAGATTTACATGCGGGACAGAGAGTAAATGAGGCTCTTCACTCTATGGTGGGAAATCCGAAAGTTTCGAAAAAGGCACCTTTACCTACCTTTATATATTTGGTAGTAAAAGTAAGGGGGTGCCAAAAGAAGCATAAGAATACATTAAATGCTACAGAAATGCGGTCATAAAAAAGTATGTTAAGAGTGACACTGAATGATATGGCAGAATTATTGTGTAATATATAAAAGAGAAAAGTATGGATTGCTTTCATTTCTTAATCCAGGTGGATTAAGAAATAAATGCTTCGATGGTTTGGTCCTGTAGAAAGAATGAATGAGTAAACAGTGACAAAGCGAATATATGTTGCAGAAGTCAAAGTAAATTTATAAAGTATAGTCGGCAAGGGTCGCCCTAGAAGGATATAATCGATTGGCGATATATGATGGGCCAAATTAAGAATTCGCCTAACCAAAGAGCATGTTTGAGTAGGTATACATGGGCGTGAAGGAGGCGAGAGAGATGTGTCAGGATCGTGCCAAATGGAAGTCCGTAGTCTCTAGCCACCCCTCTGGGCGATAGGCGTGAGTGCTTAATAATGTAGATCTACAAGAAAATCACCTGCAGCATCTTTACTAAATCATGTAGTCACCATATTAAGTAAATGCTAACAATATCCTTAGCACTGCTTGTTATCAACAAGCGAAGTTACTTTAATTAATTCGGTAGAGTCAAGCAAGCTAATTTGAATACAAATAACTTTCTACGCCGATGTCACTCGCGGATGCATTATCCGAATAGTGTCGTTGACATTTAGCGCACATCGCTGATAACATATTTTTAATTGTTATCGTAATTTCATTAACTTAATCAGGCAAAGAAAACATGTTACGAGTGTTTCGTGTGAATTTGTTTATCTTTTCAATTATCTTTTTTAACTCGTTTTATTTGTAAGATATTTTCAACGGAGGTATGTGACTCTACATAATATTTGCTATGTCAAAGAAAAAGAATTGGCAATAGTTCATCCTACATTTTATTTTATGAAATTGAAATGACAAACCAACCTAAAGTCCACCTCATGGTATGTGCTATAGTTGGATATCAGCGCTTAAGGTCCTTTCAGTTTAAAACAAAGAGAATGTCATGTATCTAAGCACGCAAGACTCTTTAGCCCTCCCGTCAGTAAGCGCTGCCGCGCTGATTGATTGCCTCATTTAAATCCGACGCTCGAGATTCGATTATGATTAGACTCTATCAAATTGAAGTCATCTCTTGTGACAATATGTCGGGGCCAGCTTAGAAAATACACAGAATATTTTAGTAAACATTAGTACTTTAAAGAGAAAAAGGTTATTCAGTATTGTGATTTAAAGTTATGAAGTCTATAGTATAGCAATAAAATTAAAACCTACATGTGTCCAACGGTTTTGGCCTCCCCTAATTTCTGACGGGGTAAATATATGTAATACATTTTAAACACATTATAAACGATAGTGAATTTCAGTGAAGTGATATGTAAGTTAGAGTTAAATCGTGTATATATAATGATAAATTATAAGATGAAATGTGATTAAAAATTTACACGATTTACTGGCTATACGTGGTAGAGAAACGCTGCAGCAATATATGCGCCGCACTGCTGCATAAACCAAACCCTCACAGAAATAAGAGGACAGAAAGGAGACTTTTGATCAGCTTTGGTAATTATAAAGGCTATAACTTGAAAAAAGTAATTTTTAACTTCACTTTACAATAATCATCGGTTCTATACCGTTGAAATTCACCAAAAAGCAATATGTGCCGTGACGTATGACGAAGATCAAAAATTTGACTTCTAATAAAAAGCGCAAGCGCCAGTAGTTTGTGTCAATACACATAGTGTATAGAAGAATAACAGCACCAGCTTCAAAAGCCTTTAATGTAGAATTTATTTCATTATGTTTAGTTTTATGAAGATGTTTTTTACTTTTTAAGTTTAATTTTTGTTCCTTCTGCGTGGACTGAGGACTATCACAGACACAATATTAAAACTAGATTGTCGCTTAAATAGTTGTATTTAAAATTTCGTTGCCTATTTTGCCACTCTTATAGGTGGAATCTATATCCAAATTTATATGGAACCACCCCTTACGTATAACCTGTTTAATTAAAAAATAATTATTAAAATAGTTTCATAATTGAAGAATCCAGAACAACACAAAACATGCAAAAATAACGTATATATAAATTTTATGAAATTACCTAAAAATAACCAAGCTTGGTTGCGCGGAAAGAGAATCATAGTGGAAAGTAAACTATAGTTTACTTTCCGCCTTTTTTGATTTTATACTCTAGGTTAACTAACAGCTTCTTGTTCTCCAAAATAATAGAATCCATTATAAGCTGCCAGCTCATGCGGGACCTTGAGGATCACCAGCTGATTAGTGACCGCCAATACAATTTTCGTCGGGGTCGATCTTCTGGTCTATCTGACTCATAGATGGGCGGAGGCAATAGAGTCCAAGGGGGAGGGAGCCGTTAGTTTGGACATTGCGAAGGCCTTCGATCGAGTTTGGCACAAAGCGCTTCTTTCGAAGCTCCCTTCCTATGGGCTTCCCGAAAAATTGTGCAATTGATTCACCAGCTTTCTTGCAGATCGGCGAATTATAAAAAAATATGGTGTTACAACAAGACAGTTAAATCATACGTACGATTTGTTTTATTTTAAACGATTAAAAAACAAGATCTAAATTTTATGACTTAGTCTATTTTTTGCACGTGGTAAAGACACAGTAGGTATATTTAGATGTTATATTGCATACAGACCAAAGTAATATAAGCCGCAACTTTCGTTCTTTATCGACCTAATGCATTATCTATAAATGTAGTACAAAGTTGATTCAAATGTTTTCAGTCCGGAAATTTTTATACTCAAAATTTTTAGCGCGCATTGATTTTCCCCTTACTGATGTGTATGTCTATATGTATGTTCAGTAAAGAATTTTCTCTTTTATTACTACTATACTACTGTACCGAGTTGCGGTGTCTTGATGAATACGTATATAGTGTTCCTGAATTACGATATCTCTTTATCACCCTGTAAATTTGTAAAGTTAAATTCAAGAATACTTGCTATTCTTGAACACCTGTGCTCCATTTTCTAATTTTTTTATGAAGGAGGGGATAAACGAGCAAGCGGCTCATGTGATAGTAAGTGCCGCCCATTACAAACTGCAAAACGAGAAACACCAGGGGAATTGCAGGTGCGTTGGCGGCCTTTTAATAAGGAGGAAGCTCGTTTCTTGAAGGTCCCTAAGTCGTACCGGTTCGGAAGTCGTCGAAGGTCGTACTCGTGCGGGGAAGAAAACTCCTCGTTATAATAGTAAAAAAGTAATATATAAATATTTAAATTCAGATTACTATAACATTAAAATGACAAATGAGCTCATATCTAATGATTCATGGTAAGTGGCTTCTTTAGTCTATGACAATACAAACTCCGAATGAAGAAGAGTAGGATTCCGAATGAACGACTAATATAGAA